CTCTCTCTCTCTCTCTCTCTCTCTCTCTCTCTCTCTCTCTCCTGATTTTATTACTTTCCCACCATAATTGCCCATGGGGTGTGATGTGGAGGACATCGCAATGTTCCAAATGCAAAGATATTTCCCTGCCTGGTGCCTGCAGTTCTTCCTCTGAGTAGAGGCTCTTTTTCTTTCTGGAGGACCCTGGTGGCTAATGGCGTGAGCACACTCCATTTCCCCAGAACAGCATGGCTCATGGGGAAGCCCTGGGGATGAGGATGAGGGCAGGGACATTTGATAGAAGGTAGGGAAGGTCCAGATAGGAGCTAGGGAAGGTCCAGTGTAATTATGGCCATTGGGTTAGGTGGTGAGTGGGGAGAGCTTGGTGATGGGTGGAGTGGAGAGAACCTGCTGAGTGAAGGCCACTGAAGAGCTGGAGGAATCAGGGAAACGGGAAGAAACTGTTAAAGCCAGACATCATTTTGCTACTTTGTTCATGGTTAGCTCACACTGCCTTGCCCTGGTTCTGGGAGCCTGGGAGAGGGGTGGGAAGAAGGAGTAGGAGCCTGGGAAGGGTTATGAGAATCAGAGGTTGAGGTTCTGTCAGCCCAAGTCTCTGTGTCCTCCTCACAAAAATGAAAGCTGGCAGACACAACAGCCAGGCTACCTCCAATAATTTCATCACAGTGGGAAAGGCAGGCGTCTCCATCACATCGGAGGAATCCAGGTTCTCGAAGACCGCAGCTGCAGGGAGAAGAAACTCTGAGTGGCAAAATGGCCTGCAGTGCTGGGACAGAGACCCCAGTAAGGTAAGAGCTGAGCCTAGGGCAGGCCCTGTCTCTGAGGCACTGTCTCTCCCAGACCCCACACTGGGAGCCAGTGTCCTAGGTGATTATCAGCCTTTAGCCGTGGCCACTGGCCACTTTCTGTCTGCTCTGCTCAGTGAGACTAGGGCCTAGGGTAAAGGGAAGTTTGAAGAAATGCGGGCTTGTTTGGGAGGAGGAGTTGGGGGCGGGGGCTGCCTCTTAAGGAAAGAGATAAGCCATCAGGCCCCTTCGACCTCTCTGTTGTTCATAGAAACCTGGCATTCGTATGTTCATTCAGTCAAATAAGCAATTATTAGCAGAGCACCATTGTAAGCTGGGCCCAGCCCTATGACAAGTCTCTGGGCTGGCCTCCCTAGTTCAAGTTCCTCCTCATTAAGTCAACCTCCACTTTAGGGCCACCAGGATGTGGAGAGGAGGGACTGTTGTTTCTGCATTTTTTTTTAACTTAAAAAAAATTGTACAATAAAACATACAGATTAAAAAAATGCATAAAACCCAAAGCCATGTCATAATGAATGATTATTGAGTCAACACTGTGTAACCACTACAAAAGTGAAAATAAAGAGCCTCACCAGCACCCAAAGGCCAATAATGTCCTTCCCTGCTGAGACTGTATTCCTCTTTACTAGGTGACCACTCTCCCAACTTTCGTGGAAATCACTTTGTTTTTTCTTTATCTTTTTACTACCTACATATCAATCCCTAATCAACCTTTAGTTTTACTAGTTTTTAAATTTTGTGTAGGTGTGATCTAATTGTCTGAATTCTTTTGTGCCTTGGCTTCATTTCCTCAATATCACATTTATAATATTCTTCCACATCCTGACACCCCCTGCTTGTCAGCATCCACCTTTCACTAGCAGAAATGCCGGGTTTCGTTGATAAAAACCCAAATAAAATCACATAGTCACCTGCCACAACTCATTTGGAGTAGATTTCCTTATAGGGTGTGAGACAGTGGTCTAAGCTCATGTTTTTTCACATGGATACCCAATTGCTGCAGAAAAGTCTATCCTTTCCTTGCCGCTCTGTGAATCGGTATCTTTCCTGAGTTCTAGAGCCAGCCGTAATCTCTTCAAATACTGCCTGTGCCCCATTCATTTTCTTTTCTTTCAGGACTCCAGTTCAATGTATACTACATCTTCTCACTGTATCCTCTAGGATAGGTGCTTGGGAGCTAACAGGACTCCTTAATCCCCTGACTACCTGGATACTTGCAAACTGGTTTGCAAGTTTGTGCAAGGTTTTGTTTATTCTGGTTCACCCTTACCCTGAGGGAGTATCCCTTTGGGTCCCAGATAAAAGTGGGAGTTTCACCTTTAGAAGGCCCTATGCCTTAACATCTTCCCTTTAACCCCACAAAGCCTCCAAAATTATAGCTAAAACTTTTAATGTATTTTTCCAGGACAGGGTTAGACCACATTACTTCAGTGAGCTCTTTAGGTGAGAATCCTGAGAGATTTCTTCCTCCTCCAGCCCCAGCCCCCCTACTCTTCCACCCCAGGGGGTGCAGTTTTGGGGAAACATTACCCATAAACTCCACATTCCCCAGATGGAGAATGGCTGCCAGCAGCTTGCTGAGGTCCCAGTTCTCAGCGTCGGAGAACATGAGGATTTTCAAGGCCGAGCGCACATGGGCGTAGTCCTTGGCATCATTGAGCCCCTCGCAGGAGGTGCAGTTCCCCTGCAGGATGGAGAACCTCAGCTTTCCAGGGGCCACCCAAAGCCTCCCGTCCTCCATGCAGAGCCAACAAGGCATAGAAGCCTCAGAGACTCAGCCAAAGGCCCTGATAAGTAACATTTCATACCTTCTGGGTAGACCCTGAATGGACCATGGGGATGCCTAAGCTCAGAAAACACATCAAAGTACCTCCCGAGGCAGAGCCAAAGCCATAGACAGCGTGCTGGCCTCTGCAGTTAGTGCTGGTACTTGGTAGTTGTGTGGCCTTGGCCAAGTCATTTAGCATCTCTGAGCCTCAATCTGTCATCCTTCCACAGTAATGACTGCTTTACCCTCTCTGGGAAGTAGCACAGACTCCCTTAACAAACTCTTCCCAAGCCTCACCATATGCCAGGCTCAGTGCTACTGTTGGGAGTCCTGGCCCCTGCCCTGGGTGCCAGGCATGGAGGAAGGGCAAGCAGGAAGCAGATGACAGTCTCATAGACTGTTAAAGGTGCCAAGACCAAAGGTGGGGGCAGCCTGCTGGCAAATGGGATAAGGCTTCCAGGAGGAGAGGTCTGAGCTGGCCTCACATGCTGAGCTTCAAGGCAGTGTAGGGGAAGAGGGAGGTCTAGGCAGAGAACAGCTGAAGCTAGGTGGGAGGTGGGAGCCTGGAGACAGGGTTACAAGGAGATGTGGTTAGTGGGGAGGTGGGAGGTCTGAGATGGTGGGATCTGGAGGAACTTGGAAACCATGCTACAGGGCCACAGGGAGCCCCTGAGGAATTGTCATCTGTCTAGAGGGTGGATAATAAAGTGTGGGTCAAGCTTGCGGGGCTGGTGGTAAATTAGGTGAGAGAGGGGACCCAGGGTCCTGCAGTGGTCCAAGCAAGAGCTAAGGAAGGCCTTGAGGCAGTGAACACAGGAGAGAGGGCTAGCAGCAGATAGATTCAAGAGGTGAAACTCAATTGTTCCCTTGTTAGCAAAAGAGCAGATGGCCCCTTTTGCAGGCGGGGGTTGGCAGTGGGGGCCTAAGGTCCTTGCTCTCCTGGAGTTCAAGTTCTAGGGACACCTACGGGATGGCGATTTGAATGAAATCGGGAAAGAAGAGGTGTGGAGACGACTGTCCATGACCTGCTGGGTGACCAGGAGCCTTTAGTTCATTGGGACCAAAGGAAGGTAGATTTGTGAGGAAAGACCATGAGTTCAGCGAGAAATAAGAAAGCAGGACGGGGCTGGGAGGGGCAGAGCCAGGACAGGTTGTGCGGGAGAGGGGCGGAGCAGGGAAATGCTGAGAGAGGAGGGGAGGGAGGCGGGACACCTAGTGAAGAGGGGGGGCGGGGAGGGCGGGCCTCACGGTGGTCAGGTAGTGGTACTCGGAGGGCGTCCTCAGGCCCAGCAGCTCCTTCTCCTCGACGCTCATTCCAAGGAGCATGCAATAGAAAATGTGGAAGTTCCGCTCCTCCGGGGCCTGGCGGGGAAGGCGGTCCAGAGCACTTGTAAACAATTCCCTGAGGCTGCGGGGCCTCAGACTGTTGCCCCCAATCCTGTCCTGGCTTCTGCTCCAAGGCCTCTCAGCTAGGTGTGGCTTTGGCATTGACCCGAGGGACAGCCTACCTGGTCACCGTTCTCATTCTGCCCACCCCCGCACCCCCAGGCTGGCTCATCCCGCAGCCCTGTGCTGAGACCACCCCTCGCACCCCCACCCCGTCCTGGCTTAGTGAACCCATCTCTCCCAGGGCGCTTCTCTGCAACCCCGAAGGCATCCTTCCTAAAGTCAAAAGCTAGGGAGTGATGTCGAGATACAGACTCTCAGCTGGGGACCGGCCCAGCCTCAGAATTAATTCCAGTAGAGGTAAGGAGTAGTAGGCACCAAAGAATGAAGAAAATTATATGGGTGGAAAATTCAGAACAGAAAATCCTATCATTCCTTTTCCTTGAATAATGGGCAAGGACCATCATTATCCAATTCTTGGGGTCCTTGGCCCATCTCAGGGTAAGACCGGGGTTCAGTGGCAGCAAGTGAAGACCTATAGGGGTTTGTGGAGGTCCCGGAGGTGGGGGAGGGAAAAAGGGGTGAGAGCGATTGAAGGGGGCATCTCTTGGAAACCTCTCCAATCCCCTGACTCCCCATCCTGAGGCAGATGGAAGTTGCCCCCGGGACCAGCACATCAGATGGAGGCCTCACCTGCCGGCAGACCCGGGACTTCTCCAGGAGAAACTGCTTGATGCGTGCACCCTCGATCGCCCCGCTGGCGTTAAAGTAGATGTCGACATACTTCCCGAAGCGGCTAGAGTTGTCGTTTCTGATCGTCTTGGCATTTCCGAAGGCTGAGGGCCAGCGAGTGATGCCCATGATGGGAGCAGAGAGGAGAAAGTGTAGTTTTAGCGGGAAGGCTTCTCAGAGGTGGTGGCAGAGCCCAGAATTAAGAAGGGGTAGGATTGCACTGGACAGTGGTGGCATCCAAGGGTATGCTAAGAGGAAGGGAAAGTGCAGGTAAAGGTTTGGAGGTCAGTTAAGTATGAGGTGTGCTCGCAGATTAGGAAATTCAGCTGTAGCACAGAAAATAGGAGGAAGGCAGTGGAAAATAGACAGAAGTTGTTAGTAAGTGGGGCTTAGTAGCACAGAGCCTCGAATGCCAAGCTAAGAAGTTTGGAATTAATTCCGCAAGTGAAAGATGAGGCAAGAAAGCTTCTGAAGGAGTATGGGAGTAGATTTGCATTTTAGAAAGATTCAATCAAGCTTCAGGGCTGAAGGCTGGGTTAGAGAGGGCAAGCTTGCAGGGAAAGTGGCAAGAGCTGGCATGGGCAGGGGCACAGATGAGGAGGTCAGCCCAGGAGGCACTGGTGTTGCAACACCATCCAACATACACTCCATAGAGCTGTTTCTGTAGGCTTTTCTTATGTGGCCCACAGTAAGAAAGATCCTTTGCGTTGTATCCTAGTACATACACACCCCCAACTGCACACATAATTAAAAGAAAATATTCAGTATCAGTTCTTACCAAGAGTGATGTGCTGGGCTATTTTCTAATTCATGCTATTTAACTGGTTCTAAAAAACTTATTTTGTGACCCACTGGTGGGTTGGGACACAGTTTGCAAACACTGTACCACTACACAGCATTAGTCCCACGAACAAAGGGAAAGTTCCTTGGACAAATAGGTTTGGGAAACACGGACTGCAGTGGACAGCAGAGGCTCTGAGGAAGGCTACCATACAGAAGCTTAATGTCATTGAACCCAGTGGATGATCTCTCTCCAAGAATCTGATGCAGGCTTTTTTTTTTTGAATTTTTGAAGAAAGTGTCAAGATGATTTTTAAATGTATATGGAAAGGTAAGGGACCTAGAGTAGCAAAGTTTGAAAAAGAATGAACTTGGGGGACACATGATATTTGATAGCAAAACTTAGTAAAAATCTATAGAATTCAAGACAGTGTGGTATTGGTGAAAGGATAGACAGAGAGAGTAATAGAACAGAATAGAGAATCCAGAAATGGACCCACACATGTACAGTCAATTGACTTTGTGGTAGGTGTTACACTAGGGGCCCTGCCCGGAGTATCCAAAATGAAAAATAGCCTTAAAACAATAGCCTTAACTTAACTGTCAGACCTGACACAATAGCAAGGCAATGACAGGGAAATTCCCCAACACAGGCATGCACAGGACAGGTGGTGTGATCTAGAATTCACCTCTGCTTCATTATATGATCATTATAATAAATTTACATTGTGCTTTTGACCCCCTTATAGACAAACCGAATGCATTATGAGTATACTCATACTCAGAGAGAAAAAGGTTATATAAGACAGCGGTCCCCAACCTTTTTGGCACCAGGGACCAGTGAGCCTATGAGAATCTAATGCCTGATGACTCGAAGTAGAGCTGAGGTGGTGATGCTAGCTAGTGCTGGGGAGCAGCTGCAAATAAAGATGAAGCTTTGTTTACTCGCCCACTGCTCACCCCTGGCTGTGAGGCCCGGTTCCTATCAGGCCACGGACTGGTACTGGTCCATGGCTTGGCAGCTGGGGCCCCCTGATATAAGAAACCTATCTGTCAGTCAAGTCTTGTAAGGGAAGGGCTATGGTGACAGGACGAGGACCAAAGCCTTGCAGGCAGAATAAAAGAGCCTGAAGCAGGAGGCTGACCTCTCTTGGCAGCTCACTCTTTCTTCTGAGAAATAAACTTTTGCTTTCAATAAAACTGACTTGCTTACAAACTGCTGCGTATCTGTCCTCAATTCATTGTCACAGGACGCAAAGAATTGAGGCCCAGGGGTTCCAGGACTCCCCAGAACCGGTAACAATTTTAGACAAAGGTACAAAAGCAGTTCAATGGAGAAAGAACACTCTTTTAGACATATGGAGCTGAAATGATTGGATATCCATAGAGAAGACAGCAAGAATGGAAGGAAGGAAGAATGGAAGGAAGGAAGAAAGGAAGGAAGGAAGAAAGGAAGGAAAAAAGACTCAACTTACACCTTGCGCTATAGAAAAAATGAACACAAAATGGATCATAGACCCGAATTTAGAACCTAAAACTACAAAACATCTAGAAGAAAAGATAGGGAAAAAAGTCTCTGGGTTAGGCAAAGATTTAGATACAACACCAAAAGCATACTGAATAGAAGGAAAGTATGATAAATTGAACTTCATCAAAATCTAAAACTTCTGCCCTACAAAAGACACTGTTAACAAAGTGAAAAGACAATCCACAGACTGGGAAAAAATATTTGCAAAACACCTATCTTATAAGGGACTTGTATCCAGAATACATAATGAACTCTTCTTACAAAATCATTAAGGAGCCAACTATTTCAAAAAATCGGCAAAAGATTTGAAGAGACACTTCACCACAGAAGATATACAGATGGGAAATAAACACATGAAAAGCTGCTCCACATCATTAGCGTGAGGGAAATGTAAGTTAGAACCATGATGAGATACCATTCTGCACATAACAGAGTGGCAAGCAGTCACCTGACAGCACCAAGCGCTGGCACAGATGTGGAACAACTAGACTGCTTTGCTGGTAGGAATGCAGAATGGGGCAGCCACTTTGAAAACTGGCAGTTTCTGACAGTTAAATGGTTCACTTATCATTTAAGCCAACGATTTCACTCCTGCATATTTATCTGGGAGGAAACCATGTATGCAACTGTTGGTAGAGGCTTTATTCATAATCATTAAAAACTACAAACAACCTAGATGTCCTTCAATTGGTGAACAAACTGTAGTACCTCTATGCAATGTAATAAAAGGAATGAAACAAGCAACAACATCACAAATGCATTATGCTAATGAAGTAGCCAGACCCAAAAGACTACAAACTATATGATTTTATTTATATGACCTTCTGAAAAAGATAAAATTGTAGGGGAAAAAAACACAAATCAGTGGTTGCCAGGGGCTGGAGTTGGGAAGATAGTTGACTGCAAAAGGGGCTGAGAGAAGTTTGGGGGGTAATCGGAACATTCTATATCATAATTATGATGGGGGTTAGATGACTTGTATGAGTTTCTCAAAACTCATAAAACTATCGAAAAGGTGAATTTTTACTGTATATAAATCATATCTCAATTATAAAGAAAAAGAGAACATGTCGACTAGTGGCTGACAACTTTGGAGCTGAGGTCACACACTCTGGGCCACTTCTGCAGAGGGCCAAGTCAGGGGAGCAATAGGGCCTGGCACCGGGCCTAATGCAGGGCTCCTCTAACTGGTACTTGGCTCTGGGGTTGGCCAAGACCTTGCCAGCTCTGCATCATAGTGTGAGTCTCATCCTGCCCAATTCTGCTCTTTCTTCTCTCCTAAGTGTCCTGCCAGCATCCCATCTTTTCCTGACCATTCCCACTTCCTCCTGCTTCATATTCCACAGGGGTTACCCTTCAATAAATCTTGTGCAGTCCTAACCCCAACTTGGCAACTGCTTCCCAGAGGACCCAAACTGACGTGCCCAGTATTTCCAAACTGATTTCATCTTGGAGCACTTTTTACAAGGAATACTTGTTATGGTCTTGTGGAAAACATACTTAGTGAAAGCTTATAAAGTCATTAATCTTTCTCCTTCATGCTTCCTGGGAGCCCCCACACTACTACCCACCCCCATTCTTTTCTTTCATGTCCTGAAGAATCCTGAGAAGTCACTGAAAGTGTGTGGCCTCTCTGTCTTTCCCCAGAGTCCTCTCCTAGCAGGAAGCTACCAGCCCATGGAGAAGGCCTGGGGAGGGGGCCGGTCCTGACAGTGACTGCTTACCTTCCAGGATGGGGTTGGCCTCCAGGACCTGCTGCTCTATCCATGAATGCTGGCCGCTGATGGTGGCCAGGAATTGAAGGATGAGCTTGGTGGTCTCTGTCTTTCCTGCCCCAGACTCGCCGCTACAGAGGGGATATACAAGAACATCAGTCAATAGAAATATTAGGTTTTTAACACCCCTCAACTCTCCTGCAAACCTACCACAGGCCTGCTTTCTGGGGTGGTTGAACAGGGACTCCCTCTCCCTGTGCAGAAATCCCACCGCACTTGTCCTGAAGTCATCACTGTGATCTCAGACTATCTACATTGTATTTGTTACTGGTGTGTCTGTCTTTTCGATCTTGCTTAGCTGTGAGCCCTGGCAGTCAGGGTTTATCTGGTTCATTCCAGGGTCACAAGCACAGTACTCAGTTAAGTGGTTACAGATGAACGAGCAAAACCAGATGACACAAAGTCTTGTTGTGACATTCTCTCTATGAGCAGAGATTTTATGTTGGCCAAAAGGGAAACTGCACCAGTCTTTAGGAAAGCAATTTGGTATAGGTATCAAAAACTTCAAAATTATCCTGACTTTCGCCTAAAAAATAATCCTAAAATCAGAAGTTTCTCCACAAAGCTTTCTGCTCACTAAGCATTATTTATTTATCATTGCAATTGTGGAGAATTGGAAGTAACCTAAATGGGGGAAATTAGTTATGGTCCATCCAGCCAGAGAATATTATGCAGCCATTAAAACCAGGTCTACCTAGAGCTTATAGTAACATGGTCAATGCATACTAGTTACAGTTAAGTGACAATTATGGTACTATTCGATGTGATTTTAACTAAGTGGGTAGGAGAAGTCTTTTCTTCCAAAAAATGTCTAGCAATTTTTTTCTGAGAACATTTTTCTGAATTTTCTAAAATTTTTATAGTGAATATATATTAATTTCATGGTGAGACACGAAAACTAGTTTTAAAAAATTACTGAGGACATGTAATTAAGTTAGAAAATGTACTTGTGTCTAGCACATGCTAAAATTTGCAATGATTAATATTACTTATTATTAATGCTTAAATATTACTTTTGTTTAAATTATTCTTTATTATAAAAATTGTCAAGTATTACAAATGGAGGCAGAATAATGCAATGTCTTGCTAATGAAATTATGGTCCAAAGGCCTGCAGTGCTGTCATCTGGGTAGAACTGCAGACTCCCAGGCCTCACCCTGCTCTGCTCAGTTGGAATCCACATTTTCACAAGATTCCCAGGGGGTTCCTTCACTTTACAGTTTGCATAATGAACTCCCACAGTCCCATTTCCAGTTTCCACTGGCCAATTTTGTTTCCTTTCCTATACTATTTTGAAGCAAATCTCAGACAAATAATTGTTTCATCTGAAAATGGCAATTTAAAAAAAGTTTTGGTCAAATGTGCCAATGAAGTCGGCCAGACCAACAAGCTTCCACTGAGTTGCAAACTCTCTGTGAGTGCCTGCTGTAAACACAAGTGCACCAAACAACACTGTCATGTGGGGATAGGACACTGCAGGCAGAGAGCCGAGGCGACCTGCTTGCTGCCCTGGGGAAAGCAAGGGCAGGAGGAGAAGGCAGTTTGGCTTAGAGTGATCTTCCGTCCATGCAAAGGGTGGAAAATTAGGGTGCTCTACCCTCTTCTCAGGCACCATGTCCTGGAAGTGAGAGGTGGCCTTGTGAGCTTCCTGGCCAGCCTGGGGCTCAGCTCCAGGAGGCCCCTTGCAGCGAAGCCCTGTACTCTCAGGATAGGGGGCAGATTGGGAGCATGCTATGCAGACAGGTAAAACCAGGGGTCAGAACACTAGTGTTAGGTTGGTGTGGGGCACACAACTGGAACACATTAGAACATTGAATGAATGAGTGAATGAATGAATGACTCTACTAGAGCACCAAGCAATGTGCCCTGGAGCCAAATTCCCCCTCTTCCTTCCTGTCTCTCTCATCCTCCCTTCCTTCTGTACCAGGAGGGCCTGTGTAGGAAGCAGAGAGCCCAGGCCAGACAATGACTCTCTAAAGCAGGGTCAGGGCCTGAACAGAGGGAGACACATCCTTTCTGGGCCCCAGTGGCCTGAGAGCTGCCACCTGGAGCCGCTGCTGCCCTGTCCTCACCTGAAGCCTGCTGTGAGGCTTCTTTTTTGAATGAGACCTCACCTGTTTACCCTTAGCACCCCCAAGTGCCTGTGCTGGGTTCCATTTCTAAATTAGCCATCCCCATTCTTCTTTGTCTCAGGAAAAAATCACTGAAAGTGGGGGCGGTCTAGGCCCTGGTGATACAGTGGAAAAGCAGGTTCTGAAGGAAGGAAGCCTTAGAAGAACT